CAATGTTTCACAGTAAAAAGTTAACTTTTATCTTAATTGCTTGCTTTTCTTCTAATTAACGTAGTAGTACAGCTTTAGAATTTTCAAACTGGTCATGTCTTTTTACTACTCTTTTTTTTCTTTGCCTTTATGCATATGTATTCAATGCAATGTACCCAGTTGGAGGAGACTTGGAGTCGCTCGTCTCAGAATTACCTTTGCCCAATCTAATTGCATTTTGACGAGTCACATTTTCAAATTCTGCATGTTCCATATTTCCTATAACTTACCATTCAAGTTATGAGAAAACTCTCGGTACTTCTCTTCAAATTCAGTAAATAACAAGATTTTGAAGATCTTGAGCTTTGAATTCATTGAAGATTGTGTGTGAGCTCATTGTACTCAATGAGTTTTCTTTTTCTTCTTTTTTTCTTTACTAGAATATACACAAAATTAATTAACGAGGTTTAATTGAACCCTTATCGATTATACATCCAACATTGTGTTATTTCACAATCATATGACATACTCCCTTCATTTCAAAATGTAAGTCGTTTTAGATTTGGAAAAAATTTTCAAAATGTAAGTCGTTTTAACATTTCAAGGCAAATTAATCATTACTTTTCCAACTTTATCCTCAATCAATGATGCCAATCCATTTTTATTTACTTTTATTTATAATTCTAATGTAATTAATAAGGGGTAAAATAGATATTTAACACATAAATTAATTATTGAATGATTATCTCCTTAATTTACGTGTAAATATTTTGAGATGGAGGGAATATTACGTGATGATTATTTGAAATCAGTAACCAACAGTCATTGTCCTGTCATAACATATCTTTTCATTTAAATTTGGGGGAGGGGGGATTTAACCATTTTGAATATTTTCTTTCTTCTTCTTTTTTTCATTTTTAAGTTTTAACTCAACTCCAGGTACTCCCTCCGGTCCTTAATATAAGATATTTTAATTTGTTCTAAATTTCACCTAATACATATATTTAATTGACAAAAAAATTTTAAAAATATTTTATAACAATCAAGAAAACACAACGAATGTGAAAATATCTTTTTAAGATTTTTTTGTCAATTTAAAATACATATTAGGTGAAATCTTAAACAAATCAAAATGACTTATATTAAGGATCGGAGGGAGTACTTCATAGACCACAATACCTATTTTTAAGTTTTTTTTTTCATTTTTAAGTTATAGTTATCTTTAAAGACCACAGTACTTAATAGAGAGAGTTCAAGAATGTGAGACGAGATATATAAAAGGATCAATGAAAAAGGTAAATAAATGAATATTGTTGCATGCACCACGCATACATAGGTGCACTATCTCCATAGATATATACTGCCATGCAAATTAAAGGACCTCTTGCGATTATTATAATCATTTGTATGACCATTTTCCTGAAAAATATGTGTGAAAGTTTGACTTGTAAAATCCACGATGAGTGAAGACTGACATTATTTGACCCTTTGCGCCACGAAGAACCGAGAAGTAAAAGTTCCAAGTCTCCCTTCCAAGGCCAAAACTTATAAAATCTTGGTCCTACTGATGTTGTTCGTACTATTATATATACTCAACTGAAAATGTGAAAATTCAAACATCATATGTGATTTATTCACTGGATCATATCTTATGATATACAAACATAGTTTTAGTTAGACAGTAGTACATTAAAACAATGTTTTTGGTTTTATTTTGTTCCTGCATTACATAGAATGTACTCCTTCCGTCCCAAAAAAATAATCCAGTTTGATAAAAAAAATTGTCCCAAAAAAATAATCTAGTTTCACAAAAGTCAAAATTAATTATGTTAAAATGACTTAAATATCCTGATGATAAATTAAAGTTTTAGTTTTAGTTATCCCTTCCCTTCCAATTGTACGTCCAATCTGCACTGAACTTGTCGCCGGCGGATTTCCCGACTTATTCTCTGTCTTTTGAAGATCGACGTTCCTGCCAAGTTTAGCCTCCGTCGATCTGTGCGTTCAACGTTTACGGCAGAACGGCGAGAAAAAGCCACGAGAGAAATCAATGTCAGATTTATTGTGTCAGATCTTGATGCTATAGAGTCAAAAGTGGCTTGGAAGTGAGAGGAGAGGAAGTGACGGCAACAAGAACAAGAAGGAGGTGGGGGTTTTGTGTTTTCCGGCCGAAAGAAGGATGAAGGAAGAAAAAAGGTGAGGCAACGGCTGTTCCGGTCGTATGTTATTGGCTACCAAAAGCTCCAAAATTTTAGGGAAATGAAGCGTAAGTGGAAGAGAATTGATTTCATGTGTTTTCGTCGGCAAAAATGCCAATTATCTGGACGGCCAACTGGGAAGTAGGAAGAAGAATAAATTCGCGGCGGTGGTCGATGTTTTGTCCGGCGGCTTTGTGATTTCGTGTTTTCCGGTTCAAGGAAAAAAATAAAAGAAGAAGATCCGATAGTTTAGGAATGATAAGCAGGGGCATTATTGTAAGTTTATAGGATTAAATGAAATATACATTAGTAGATTGACCAAATTAAAAAAGTTGTATATTTGAAATTGGATTATTTTTTGTAACAAAGAGAATATTTCAAAATACCTCGGGAATGGGCCCGTTGAAAAATCTTGAATTAATAATGGTAATACGTCATAATTAAAAACCTTTTTACAGTTATGAGATTTTGCAGTTCTAGTTACAGATGAAAAAAAAAAAATAGAAATTAGAGGATAAGGTTTGTTCATGTAATGAAAGTTTTTATGAAAGTTGTTGGGGACGGAATTGGAATGCTCGCTTCGGTTTCTGATTTTGTGTCAGTCGTTTTGTTTATGATGATTTGTCTCACTCTATGATTCCGTATAGTATTGTATGGCATTAGTAACAAAAAATTTGTTTTCCTATTAAAAATTTTTTTTTTTCCAACTCAATGTGAATTATTTTATAAACATATATTAATTGTGGTTTTACAATATCGGAGTTTTTAGTTTTATTATAAAAATAGAATATAGTAGTTCAAACAGTGTTGTCATGCTCGGCTCGGACTGACGGTCGACCCGGTTAAATCGGGAACCGGCTCCTAAGCCAAGCCGAGCAAGGCTTAAAATCGCCAAAAAGAAAATCGGTTTAAATCGATCAAAACTTCGGTCGAATCGCGAATCGGTTAAAATTGGTCGAATCAGGGATTTAGTTTTTTTGACCTTTTGACCAAAAAATTGCACATTTTTCTATGGATTTCAACTTCTAATGTCTTCCAGGCCAACTTTTTCTCTTTTGTTCAAAATTGCCCAACAACTTTCAATTTTTTTTTGTACTTTTTAAAGTTTTAATTTAATATTTAGTCCTCATATTCAATTTCAATTTTCAAAATATAATATTTTGAATAATATTTTTTTAATTTTGCTACAGAAATTTACTTCCCTCATTTTATGAAAATTTATATTATTACTCTAATATGTCACAAAAAAATAATCTTGGAGTACTTTTTCTTAATGTGTATATTAGTTGCACTTCAAATTTAACATTTTTTTCTAAATTAGTATACTAATTTACTTCACTTGAGTAACAATTAACTACTGAAAAATATCAATATCAACTAATATAATCGAAGAGAGATATAAAGTTTAAATATTTTTAATTTTAAATATATTAAAAAACTAAATACTATATAGTTAGTAATAATGACATCATTATATGCGACCTCATGAGTTCAATTTGATTATATAGCGATCCATTTGTAAATTATGAAGTATTAATTTGACTCCAACAATTGAAATATATATATAAAATTTATAAAATTCTAATTAAAATATTATTATAATTAATTAGTATTTATTATGTCATTATGACATCATCCGAGTCGACTCCGAGTCGACTCCCGATTCGATCGACCCCGTGGCCATGCCGAGTCGAGCTCCAGTCCGAGTCTGACAATATTGAGTTCAAGTTAATGATGTGTGGCATATAAACTTGAAGGAGTTATCTGTGTTACAGATCCTATTTACAGAGAAATCTATGGTACAATAGTTGTACCTGCGTTTTGCCCATGTTTTGTCTTTGATTTTATGATTCTACGTGGTAGAGTTATTGTACAATAGATTGACTCCCTATTTACACATAATCTCGAACTAGCGAGTATAATTCGTCTTACAAGAATGGCATGATCCTGATGTGACCATGACATGATTCGACATGGCAACACGCATCTATGTAGGAAACAAATGATAAACCAAAGGAGACGAGTATAAAAATATTAAACGTGACATGATCATGGGCTTGCCTAAAATTATTTATTGATAATTAGAACTATAATAGTGGCCCATTGATTTTGTCATTCACACTAGTACCAAGGCTCCAGTCTAAACTGATAGTATTAGTAAAATCTACGAAGTTGATTACCTCATTGATTTCTTTTTCACCTTTTTTTTCCCCTTAAATTTTTGGAAGGGAGAAATGATAACGAAATGAGAGCATACTTAATTTATATAGACCGGTGAAAGGGATGTATTCACTCGACAGTCCGCGATTTAGGTAGGAAGTATGCAACCATTTAGGGGGAATAGAGATTATTAATTTATTAGGCCATTTGAAATTCTTTTCTCTTTCCTTTCTCCCTTTTGGCTTATGTTTTGTAATAACAAAAGTCCTTTTTCTAATTCTGTGGTGAGCTATCGGTCCTTTGAAGTTGTTACTTGTAAGTGTGTGACTGTGTGTTGGGTGATATCAATCTGGAGTTTCAGAAAATTATTGAGCCGGCGCCTCTTTTGTGCCTAGCAAACGCAAATTCAGACAGTGGTATGTTTCATTGACTAAATGTGGTACGGACGAATGGAGTTCGATTCATTTCTGCTAGAAATTCAACATTTTACTTTTCCGCGTCCACGGTGATCTCCCGATTGGTGGAATTCGCCTAGCACAAACCAATGCGATTAAAGTTTTTATTTCACTATGCTAATACATGGAAAAGGGGGAAAAGAAAAGAAAAACAAAAGGGTCAGATACTTCGACTTCATATACAGTTGCATATGCAAGTGGGGATGCTTCAGGAATGAGGACTTGAATACCTTAACATCATCAAATCGTCATAACAGTTTTTTACAAGCACTTCCACAGAACTACAAGTTACTAACAAAGTAACTGATTCAACTTAACCAATCCGCGTGCACCCGCAACAAAACAACGTTTGACCAAAAAAAAAAAAGACCAGCAAGAAGAGAAGAGCAGACAACCAAGCACAATGAAAACCATACAACTAAGCAACAAAATTCAGCCGCAAAGAAAGCTGAGTGTTGTCACTTGACGATGACTCTGAAAATTGCTAGTAAACTTGGGATGTATGTAATAAATCCAGTAAGGGGAAAACAAACACACACAAGATATGCAGAAGAAAGCATGGAACTCTCAAAACGGCAAATGCTTGGATGAGTTTCCAAAAGGCAGTGAGACATAGAACTCCGAATTAATTACTCAAGTTATGTGATGAAGGAAGACAACCACCATTTAAGGCCGTGTCACATATACTCCGAACCACAAACCATTGCATTCTAGACTTAAATACTCTAAATAGTTTAGGGAACTACAGCCTCAAGTACCAGCAAACATGTAACTAAGCAGCAACTAGCACAAGGAAAAAAAAAACACACACACACACACACACACACAAAGGTTAAGGTCGATGATTACATTATCCTACAAGTTAACTTCAAGTCATATTTCTCATACGAAGTTATTGGTCACAACCATGCAGGTAAGCCCATCATGAAGGACAAACAGCAACACCAGTATGCATAGTGTGATCAAATCCACGGGTACTCATGGATTCCGCTTTCGCTTTTTAGCAAGATTCTCAAACACCTGGTGAACATCATCAGCTGTGATCGGTTTTGATGCATCAAATGACTCCTGCAAAAATGAGTGAAGCCAAGATGTCCTCAAAATAGGGTTTCCCATGTTATATGAGAATGAAAACACAGCAGCAAGCAAACAAGAGTTTCAGAGAATTCACATACCAGGAAAGAATGAAGTTCACTTTTCATATCAGCAATGCCAGTCAAAAACTCCATTTTCTCAACATGACCTAGTTTGTTAAGAAAATTCAATTCCTGTCCCTGTTGTTCCTGCAGTTTTTCATCCCTTTTCTGCTTTGCCATTTTCTCATATTCAGCAATGGAATCCTCTTTGTCAACCAAGAAACTGATTCCCTTCTGGGTGTAGAACTCCAAACACTTTTGACATCTGCAGAGAGCTTCTCTCCAATTTTTACAAAGAAACATTGCTTCACTTTTTTCCGGTTTAAGTTCCGACTCAAGCAGATTTTCATCAAGAACACATGCTTTACTTGGACCCGCATTTGAATTGCCATCCTGTAGCACTATGTTGCTAGCTTTAGTTTCTTCAACCAGAATACCCTTCCCAAGAGAGACATCTCTGGGCATGGTATCTCCAGCAGAGGCTTCAAAGATACAATTTCCATTTTGCTGCTCCGAACATGAATCAGCATTTTCGGCTCCTTTGTCCTGTGAAGAAGTCAGTACCTTCTGCTGCTTCACCCTGAATGTTTGAGGATAAAGAGTCAAAAAGAAACACATGTTGGAGCAGCTTTGACATATTAGATCTTCGTATAACGGCTCCCCTTCTTCATCTCTTGGTATCTGCATACAAAGATGCAGCGGAACAGCGGAATCAGAAGAACAGTACAATGTTCCAGCAAAATAGTGATAACAAGATTGCTTACTTAATCAAGCATGCCAAGATGGATAATTGATAAGCAAGAAAAGAGAAGATTCAATCTAAAATATGTTCTCCTTGTCACAGAAGTAGAATTGTAAAGTTTGTTCATAATATCAAACACAAGATGATACACACAGAAACATAATACGTTACACAAGTACTGTATCTGCAAAAACAAGCCTCCGAATATTTAGTGACAAAATAATATAATATGCAGACTTGTAACAGATTCAAAAACAAATGACATACCTCATCAGAAGGTTCGAGACCCAGATGCTCCTCGTGGAACCAGTCCTCGCAGATACAGCACTGTATCATCTCTTCCTGCTCTTCAGCATCTGGATCAGGGTAGGGCCGATTGCATGTACAATATAAACCTTTAAAATTATGATTGTACGAATTCTCCACATTTTCCACATCCTTATTCGGCAAAAGCTTACAGTAAGCCTCTCCAAATTTTGAATTTCCACAATCACACCTAAACTTCCTTTTGGTCCAAAGTTCCACAATCTTGTCCAATAAGAAAGAGAGTGATATGAGAAATAAACTTTATACAGGGGGTCTAAAGGCTCAACATCACACTTATCAATAGAGCAAGAGGCAAACTCCATAAAAGCATCTTCTTTATACAGACTATGAATTCCAAAGGAAACCAAGGCATAGTTAAGTTACAGTTTAGTGTAAAGTCTCCAGAGTGAAGATATGGATTCTCACAAATTACATAGCCATCCTTAACCAGAATCTTCACTAAGTACAAGTACTAGATGCAGATATAGATTAGAATATGTCCTTAAGTTCATATACACTGAAATATGCAAATCCCCAGTTCTCCACAAACGAGAATCAGCAATCATAAAAAAGATACATGAAGTAGTAATTATATACAGAACAGTATGAGACAGACTGAAACCCAGTTTAATATTCACCTTCCCAATCCCACCTCCCCCATTTTCACCCGAAAGAAAAAGAGATAAAAGAAGATGCTATCTTGACAAAAAATAAAAACCATGGGAAGGATTTATTAGACTGGGCAAACAATACCTCATGCCCATCATGGCAAGACAAACTACAGGCTGTGCAAACCCCAGCATTACCATCTGGTGTGCATGTCAAGCATGAGAAAATTGCCTGCCTCTTCATGTAACCTTTTCCATATGTGCATTCTTTACCCTCATCACCGCCGAGTACCAAATCCGCTTCCTATGGAAGATAACCCAGAACAAAAGGAGGAGCGAAAAAGAGCACAAAATTTATAGAACCCAGATCAGTTTCAAGCGGAATCTCATTACTTAAATTACAACAATAGACGAACCAGATACTTATACTAAGACGCTGCAATACATGAAAATGGCAAAGATAAAAGATGTAGATTTAAGGGGTCGTTGAAGGGCGATTCGAGTTCAACACTTAATAATACATCACCAATTAATGTTACACACTAAGCATAAGGTCCAATTCGAAATAAATGTAGTAGAACACGACAACAAGACCTTTAATGTAAATAATCCCTTTTTTGGCCCAAATAGACCAAAATCGCTACACCAGTAGCGCGTTAAGCAAAATGTAACGGGTCTCTAATTTGTATTTCCCCTTTCGACACTTCATTAAGGTTTAGAAATTCAAGAGATCGCGATATGAAATGCCATAAAGTGTCCTAATAATTAAAATTTTCACTGGCTTCAACTCCCATATTTAAAAATTACAAAAGCCAAAAAAAATGATATCAATTTCACATGACCCATCTTTTTCAAAATAAATAGAGAAATAAAATAGAAACATCACATGACCACAGAAAATTAGTAAAAGCAGAGGAAATGCTCTGATTAAAGCGGAAACCACTGTTCGAATCCTTAATTTCACAACAACGCCCCTATTTCACCAAGTAGAAATTCGCATAAATGAACCAAAATCTCGGGAAAACATAAAAATACTAAGCAATACAAATAAACTTACGAGCTCCTGTTCCTCAACACCCTGGAGGTAATCGCCAATTGAGATCGTCGGCTCTGCTTCGTCATCAAAAGCGTCAGTCATGGTTCTTCTCAGTCCAAACCCTAGATTGTCTTTGCAAATGTGAAGCAAAAGAAAGACAGATATAATTGATACCCAAATCACAAAATACTAGGTGGATCAGATTTTGTAAATTAAATTCGTACCAGAATCTGGAAATGAAGAGAGAAAATTGTAGGAGAAAAGGGGAAGCTGTGCCCTCTGCTGAAAAAGAGGAGGGTAGGGTTTTTATATAAGGCTGTGAGAGAGAGTGTGTTCCCAAGTAACTAAAACTAATTGGGCTGCGAACAATTTGATTTTTAAGGACTTCTTCCCGCCAAATGTTTTTATGCATTGTTTTTTAAGGTTATGTATGCTACTTCTCACATGGATTTCTTGGACTAATTAGCCTATGCAAAAGAAAAAAAATTGGAGATTTTTCGTTTGCCCTATCTATTTCAAAATAAATAATTATTTTGTGCAATAAATAAGACGATCATTTGATTGTTTAGAGAAATAAACAAGACGATTATTCTGGAACAGAGGTAACTAGTGGCGAAGTTACGAAGACCAGCAGCGGCAATCGCATCCTCATCGAAAAATTTTTCTTGAGGAGTGATTTGAAATTTTAATTCAAATATTTTTTTTTGATATTTTCACCCTACTAAAAAACATTTTGGTTATTTTGCCCCTACAATCGCAAAATCCTAATTCTGTCACTGATGGTAACAAATTTTACATTTATGCTTTAGAATTTGTAGTGCATTCCCTAGCAATCTGCAAAAGTTATTTATGTAATATGCTTTAATAATACAAGGTATTAAGAACGATTTGTTTAATGTATGAATTACTATCTTCATCCGATAGAGAAATTCATAGATCTTGTATCACCAAAATATTACAAAACTATGCATCCAGTCTCAATAGAATACAAAAAGATAGATGTGGTTCCCTTATTTAAGACTAATTCCAACTAGAAAAAGTCTTGAAGTTATATTGTTTATTTTGCAATTCATAGTACTATTTACTGATTGTGTACTTGAATAATTTAATATGTAAAAAATTGAGAAGACTTAAAACAAAGGTCAAAGGGAGTAAGAAAGACTCGTTATAATTGTGTAAATATCTTTTGATCTTTTCATTTTTCATCTTTTAATTTTTTTTTTTTATTTACAGAATGTCCACCGTCGGCAACAGTGACTAATTCCATCGCTGAATTGTTACGTACTTTGATGAGACCACGGGGATATAGATTATCAAATGGGCCTAATTTAAAGCACTTTGTTCATGTTTTTTACATTGGCCCATTTAGTTTTTCGACGCATCTAAATAACTTTTAGGGCTCCGTTATACAAAAACAAAAAACAGAAAAGGACAAAAGAAAAGCCCAATAAGGCTTGCTTGTTGGTAAATGGTCAGTCATTTTGACGTTTTTTTTTTTTTTTTTTGGCATTTGCCTCTACCAATCACCAATATCTAGGGGTGGCCATGGTTTGGATCAAATTGGTGGAATCGCCTAAAACCGGTCATCGATTCAGATTGGCAGATAGTTTATAATTGAATTTTAAAACCGGTGAATTTGAAAACTAAAAATCATTCATAACGGTCCGAATTACGGTTTAGCACTGAAAAATCGTATGTCAAACTGGACCGGGCCGTGTATATATATTGATAATAATAATATTAGTTTACTTATATATAAAACGGATGAAGGCTTGTACTACAAGTGCCTAAGTAGTCACCATGGGTAGTGTTGTTTTCACTACTTCAATTTTAACAAAAGGTCATGTGTTCGAAACCACTCTTTTTATTTTTCTACTCTCTCTGTCCCAAAATTATTGTCCAATTTGGATTCTCCCAAAATTATTGTCCAATTTGGATTCTCATTTCTAGTTTAAATTATACTACAACTGAAAATACAAATTGGACAATAATTTTGAGACGAACTTCCAAACTAAAACCCTACATATAAAAGAGTAAAAAAAAAGTGCACGAAAAAGGCCACATAAAGCCCAAAAAAGGGGCCAGGAAAAGACCCAATAACAAAAAACCCAATTTATGGCCCAAAATGGAAAAAGCCACAATTAGGGACCCAAACCAAACCGCTCAATACGATTTGAATTAGTCCGGTTTCAAACCTTATCTGGTTCGATTACAGTTTACATAATTTAAAAACCGTAAGTCACGGTTTGGTTACGGATTAATAGTAATTCGGACTAATCCGATCGTGAACATCCTTACCAATATCGGCAGTAAACACTCTATAGTCGATAGAAAAAAATTCAAAAAATAAAAAAGGAAAGCGCTAGGACAATTTTCAGTCAACACTTTTAATAGTTAACTAGATGCTTGGTTGCACGGGCGCCCCTCTACTTTAATTTTGTGTTAATAGATAAATGAATTCTTGATTTGGAAAAAATAAAATAGCTACACATTTGGTTTTTTTTCCCCTTTTTTTAGTCAAAAATAAAAATAAAAATAAAAAAATTATCTGCTAAAGGAGAAAAAATATTGAAAAGTACAAGGATGCAGAAATCATACAAAAGGATGTGGAGTAATAAATGGGATAAGTTTATGGGCAAATTTAAATGCTATTTTAATTTGATTGATAACTTATAAATGTTAGGAGTTAAAATTGTGTAACTATTTTTGTAAAGTAATTTTTGTTTCTCCGGATAATTTTTTTTTCTTTTAAAAAGGAATGACACGTGGCAGAATGGTTAATGCAATATGGTGCATTTGGAGCCAAAAATTTTTAATAAGAAGTTGCCACATCAACATCTTGTATTCTGCTTTAATAGGATAAATTTAATTTGATTGATAAATTATAAATGTTAGGAGTTAAAATTGTGTAACTATTTTTGTAAAGTAATTTTTGTTTCTCCGGATAATTTTTTTTCTTTTAAAAAAAAATGACACGTGGCAAAATGGTTAATGCAATATGGTGCATTTGGAGCCAAAAATTTTTAATAAGAAGTTGCCACATCAACATCTTGTATTCTGCTTTAATAGGATAAATAAATAAATAAATATGGTGCATTTGGAGCCAAAAAATTTTAATAAAAAGTTGCCACATCAACATCTTGTATTCTGCTTTAATAGGATAAAATAATAATAATAATAAATAAATAAATAATAATAAAATAGATTTTTTGGTACAATAAAAATGAACGCCGTGTTACAACCATGAGTTGACACGCCTCAACTAATTTCAAGGATCCCTTAATAGGGTTATCGCTAGAAAAAAATTATATAAGTGCTTCAAAATTATAATCTATGTAATTAGTTTAAAAACAAATTAATATTGATTATGGGACAAAGATCAACCTTTTACGAGCTTATTGTAGTATTTTCATTTTAATTATTGTTACTCTCGTTTTTCTTTTTTTTGGGGGGGGGGGATTTGAAGAAGGCAAATTTTGTCATAATCAAATTAATTACCATTGTCGATTTATGGATATCGTATTATATACTCCCTCTGTCCCAAAATAATTGTCCAATTTGAGATCTCATTTTAGTACAATTTGAACTAAAAATGAAAATTTAAACTGGACAATAATTATGGGACGGAGAGAATATATACTTTTCAGCTTAATTAGAAGTAGTGCGTACATATTAGAATGCTTCCAGCTTAATTAGGTAGTAGTAGTGGTACTTTACATGTTAAGAACCCATAATAAGATTTTGGGAATCAACGAGATATATGAAATAGCATGGAAAAATCAACCATCCCACCAAAACAGTGATCTATGAGTATCCGAAATCGAAATGATTAGAAACATTTATATGGGATTTACCGTTGATTTGGTGACGTCTTAAAAATTCTTTGCTCCCCAAAAAGCCAAAACAGCATTTGGTAAGAGGAGGATTCCAAATAACTGTTTAAAGTACCCGACAGGCAAAGAACTAAAGGAACTGATGATGAAGATCTTTCCTTGAAATTACAAGCTTTTATTACAAAACTTTTACAAGTACAGAGTGCAATAGTACGGTATTTAAACGATTTTGATATACAGTATTTATGCATTTCTGTGAAAGTTAATTAGGCTCTGTTCATTTGCATGGTATTGGGGGGTTGGATTTGGAATTTAGGCCCCCAATGCCAAATCCGGTGTTCGGCTGTCCAAAAATAAGATGGCATTGGCCCAATGTCAAAAGACTTCCAATGCCATGATTTCAATTCTGGACTTGAAACTATTATTTGGGATTCCAAACTCTCATAGAGTTGAACGGTACGCGAGTTATTATCGGGTCAATACCGGGTTATAAGCTATTCGGATCTCCCCACCTTTTAAAAATTTTTACGGCCTAATCAATCTTATTCATAGCACATTTTCATCTCCATCTCCATCTCCATCTCCACCTGGGAAGCAAATCAATCCAAATCGACGAGAGTCATGAGACTCTGACGGACGACTTCTCCATCTCCACCGGCGGCGCAACCATTTTTTCCGGCTCCCCACGGCATAACAGTTCTCCTATTATCATCTTCATCACGATTCATCCCCGATCTCTTCTTGCTGAGACTCCGGACTCGACTTGAAGAAACTTTTCCCAGGTGAGATCCATCTAAGAACCGGAAACCCCTCTTTTATGGCTTTCGCTCGTGATTTTATCTCTAGTTCCTCGCATGTTTCATTATGGATTTTTTCTGGCTATTTTGAATCGAAATAATAGTGTCTTTCCTCCCTTATGGTGTTGTAATTTGATTTTTGTTAAGCTAGATTATTCTTCAATTGAGCCTTTAATTCGAAAATTGAATCAATCTCTGGGTCATCGTTGCAGCTCAATTCTTAAGTAGTATTAAGTCTTGTTAAGGAGCTCACCATTGGGGCAGTTGCCCCCTCCTTGGGTTTTGGGCTCTTGTCTTTTTGCTATTTGCTTCTGGGTTTTATGTTTGATCCTCGCATATCATACGGGTTGAATCCATTAAGTGAATCAGCCATTTAGGGTAGTGATGCTTTTTGAGGACGGTTAGGGGTTCACACCCCTCCATCAGTTAATAATCTTGGGCGTGAATAATAGGTGATCATTTCTCTTCCGCCCTTCAAGGATAATGGGATTATATTGTTTGCTTCTTCAGATTACTCAAATGCTCTGTACTTGAGCTGTTACTAATCTTGAGCCGTTATTTTTGCCCGACATCAACATATAAGTTCTTTTCTAGCTGACATTTTGAATGTTCCTTTGATAGGTTCTTTTGAACTACTGAATTTCTTAATATAATGAGTATTCTGACCGCTTTCTTGTCTTCTATTCTTTCAAATAGCTAGGATCCTTGGGTTTGCAATTCATTGTAAATGTGTTGATTGTATGTAGTGCCTACTGGTGTAACCTTCAGATTTGCTTTCATCTTGGTGGTAATCGTGTGACTGTAAATTGTTTTGCACGCCTCTATCTTGCCTTGTCTGATTTCCTACCTTGTTCTGGGGCATGGGCCAAATTAATAAGCCTTATTAATGAAAACATAACTCTAGGACTTTTGTTCCTCATTTTTTGATGATATGTTTCTGAGTTTTCTGATAGTATCTAATTTTCAAATGGCTGTGCTTCAAGCCATTTGATTTGGCCGTGTTCATCATTTGGTTTTTGGGAGGTGGTGGGTCTATGAGTTATATTTGCTCTGCATTATTGACTTGTTACTTCCACACAAGTAAACGGATTCTAGATTACAGGAGAATTGGAAATTTCTATCCCTATTAAACCTGATAACTTGAATGTGTTTGTTCTTGTTAATTACTTTTTTTTTTTTGGTGAACTTGTTAATTACTTTCATTTCTCTGCATGTGATCCTGTATGTTCTTGTTGTGATATTATAAGTGGAACATAAGATATACTTTTTTCACATATGTTTATATATGCATGTGGAGATCTTTATGAATAAATGTTGACATTGGTTTGTCTTTTTGTGCTTATATTGTTTTCAACGCTGATTTTTGGCCACCATTTTCTATTCTTTAGGATCAATTTGCTTTTAAATTTGGCAATGCTATGCATTGATATGTCATTTATTTGCGTTTCTTGATCTTTCATTACGAATTGTTTGGGAATGTGCTTAGTATTAGATAGCTATTGGTGCGACACATGAGGTAAGTATTTTCATGACTCTGCATGACACAAGCTCATGCTCATAATATATCCAAGACGGTCCAGCAAAATGATCTTTTGACTTTTGTTTGACTAAAAAACACTTCGATTGTTGCAGACTACGGCTTACCGTCTACAATGACAAGAATTTATCTCATATAAGAGACGAGAAGCCTCAGTGTGGATTTAAAATCTTGCTTTGCGTTTTACTCCATTTTGAATGGATACAAGTGGAAACGTTATTGGGGTCTTGTCAATTTGGTTTGTGAGTTTCATTCAGTTATTTAGAAGTTCTCTTGCGACCCTTTTTCTGTTATGTGTTTAGAAATGTGAGGTCTTTAAGCGCTTCTACTTTTGTGGTAGGGATAGCATGGTTTGCTTTGTTTTTTGGCAAGTGTTGCAACTTATTTTGCTGTCCTCCTTTAGTATAATCATCTTGGGCATGAATCTAAGGTGGTCATTGCCTTCCTCCCTTCAAGGATAATGGAATTATACTGTTTGGTTCTTCAGATTACTTAAATGCTCTGTACGTAATCTGTTATTCTTGCAAGACATCATATCTAAGTTCTTTTCTTGCTGATAGTTTGCATGTTCCTTTGATAAGTTCTTTTGAACTAGTGAATTTCTTAAGAAAAAGAATATTATGTCTGCTTTCTTACTCTTGTGTTCTTTCAAATAGATAGGATCCATGGGTTTGCTGTGTACGTAATCTGTTAAGGGGTCAAATATCATCTCTTAGGTTTCTTTTGTGCATATATTTTATACCAAACTCTTCCAAGGTTATCAAGGCTTGTTTCAGTTTATATGGTTTATCAATTGGCTTGGTGGATCTTTCAAACTACTTGTTCAAACAACATATGTTTGTTGGTCTTACTTTAGAAAGTTCAAATAACATATGTTAAGAACTACTCATTCGGAAATCTGATTCGAACAGGACTTGTATGTCATTGAAAAATCTGGATTTTTCACCCCGAAAATTCTGGTTTGAGCTTCTATTTTGAAGACTTGGTTCTTCTGAGTCCTAAACCTTCTTTTCTGAACTCTTTCGATGAAAATCCTCTGAATATGATATGCTAGATCTCCTATTTGTTCAACCTAGTTTTTATTGTTTTTGACGGCCCGTAAATTTGATATGCTGTTTGATCAAAAAAGTCCTTTGAATATGACCCTTTGCTACCTAATTTTCGGTCAGAACTCACATAAGGAAAAGCTAACTTTGGGACTTTGATTTTCCTTGATTAAATGCCTTTCACCACTTGATCAAATCTGTCCTTTTTGCTTTTGTTTTATAACTTTACCACTTAATTTTAGTCCTCTTTTAGTAAGGGTTATGGTGCTTTCTTTTAGTTGTTCAGTAGTTTCAAAAGGAAGATTGTTTATAGATGACTTAATTTTAGAAATTTTAGAAAATGTCCAGCATGAGTGACTGTTTTACAGAGCTTAGTTCTCCCAGTCTTGGAAACTTTTTGTGGGATTTCTTTTTATGAATCCCTTCTACCTATGAAATAGTTTACCATGGTTTTTACAGTTTTTGAAAAGGATTCATGGTTTTCTTAGAAATTGGATTTGAATATTATCATTCGTTTGTTTTAGAATGTATTTCAGAAAAATCTGGTGCATGGACAGTTTTGAAAGTCTGACTTCTTATGCCTAATAAATTTAGTATAGGAGTATTCAGGTTGAGAAAATAACAGTTTCACATCACGGTTGTAATATTGTTACATGTGTTGAGAAGGTCACGATTTTTTCATTTCATGTGCTTAGTTGTGGGATTATCAAAATCTGGGAAGCATTAAATGATACGAACAAATTAGTTAAACGGTAAAAACAACACTTGTCGACCATGAACTGCAAACAATATCTAAAACACAGATTACTGAAATCTGAAAATGCATTATAAATACACCTAACTTTTGCACCAAACCATAACCACAGCATAACACAAAACAAAAATACAAAGAAAGAAGAAAAGAAACAGTCAGAGTTGGAAAATGGATAGGAAGTTCGCAGCCACCATTTTGCTGCTATTCTTTGTCATCACCACCTATAGTAAGAGTCTTTCTCTCAATACACATACTCTCACTCCCTAGCAAAATGTCCTGTTTATCTTATTTTTTGAAATTAACAAATACGAGGACCATTTTGGGACAGAAGGTGTATCTGAAATCGATAAATTAAACATGGGTTGGGGGGTTCATTGCTATTATTTTAATTTGCTGCATCATTGAAATCTGTGGGTTTTTTTTTTAATTTTGAGAAATTGACAAATTCTGTTATATATTGGCAGGTAAGATGATAATGAAAGTGGAAGCCGGGGATGATGATAAGAAGGACAAATGCTACAAAGTATGGGAGGAATACAAAGGGGGTTGCAAAGAACCTAAAGATAAAGAGTGTGAAGATGGATGCAAGAAAGAAGGTTGGGAGAAGAGCACTTGCATCAAAGACAAAGAAAAGAAAGAAGGTTATTGCATTTGTTACAAGGATGGATGTACTGAGGAATAAGAGATATAATTTTTTTTTTATTTTTCGACTTGACTTAATAAAAGGACATTTTTGAATCTACCATATTCTTTTCTTTTCTTTTTTTTTGCTTTTAGTGTTTGTGTCGATTAAATTCTTCTTCTTTGATTATAATTTTACATCTTCATAATGGAAATATCCTATCCTCACATTATTTAGTCATAACTCAGTAATGGAATTATAAACGATAAATTGAATCATACTTCGTACTCACTGTTTATAGATTGACGATTATACTGGTGCAAAACAATACATTTTTCACAAATTATAATATGAAAAAAGACTACATGTCAACCGTGATGTGACTACATGTTGGGGGAAAGAAAAAAGACTGAACTTGTGATAGTACAAAAAACAAAGAGCACCTCTCAACAAATTTTGTCAGAATTGAAGGAAATTGATTTCGATGACATGCAGAAAATCAAGATTGTGGATATGATGATGCTCAATCGAGTAATGTTTGATACATTTATGGGATTGCTAGTTGAGTTGAAATACAAATGGCTTATGGCCAAACTTGATAAAGAAAACTGATTGTTCAGGTAATATTCTTTCACCTTTTCTAGTTGTTACATTGGAACTGTCTGCATTATAATCAGGTTCTGGTGGCTTCTGATGCAGCAGAGGAAGAGTTTGAAGTTGTGCACGTAATGCAGCAGAGAAATCATCGAAAAAGTCTGAATTTTGAACTTCCCAGTAAGGAGTAGAATTTCTGAAATGGATTCCAGGTTCATGTTCTGAGTTTTGGAGTATAAAACTGGAGGAAACCTCATGAAGAGAGATGCTCTTCTGGTGTACAACTTGTGTTTTTCCAAAAGATTTTTGTAGGCATTGGGTAGTTCTTTGTTGCCATCTTTTTCTCCTCTCATGGAAGTTTATATGTTAGATTTTATCGAATATCAATAATTTTATTTACATGTTAACGTGGAGTTTATAGGTCTATGTAGTGTAGTAGTAATTCGCAAAAAAAAAAAAAATTAAAATGCAACCCAGATATAGGACATGAAAGTGTCATGTCTAATTTCGACTAGCGATAAAAATTTGTGACGGTCCATCGTACGATCCCCTTTCCTTAAACCCATTTCTGGGGAATTTGACAAATTTTCTTGTTGCGCTATTGAGAACAGTGCGTAGGCAACTGATGTGTGAGCTGAAAATGTCTTGATGAGATACGTTTAGATTAGTCAAAGGAGTTAAACATGCTCTAAGTAATTTCAAAATAAATTATTTTTTTTTCTTTTTTTTTTGTAAAAAATAAACAAAAGGCAAAACCAACCCAATTACATGACTATCCGAACAGAGAATTTGGAATCCCAATTGAATTTGTGGCTAATTCTATGATTTTGCCGAACAATTGATTTGGCATTCAATTAGAATATCTTGAATGTCAATTGAATCTCAAAATATTCTAATGCCAATTGAATTCCAAAAACAAGTAGCCGAACACACTCTTAGTCGAAAGGACATGGAAGAAGTACTAGTGCATAACATCGTTCATCACCTTCCAATATCCTTTGATTATTTTCTTAATCAAATTCATTTATACTCTCTCTTTTTGCCCTTAAAGAGAAAGAAAAAACATGTGATGTTAACTTCGTCCACCATCAAACTTGGTCATTTGTGGACTTTGAAGAAGCTAATGTTAGAATATTAATTTCATATTCCATCTCTTCCAAAAAAAATTAGTTCGTATTGAGTTTTAAAGATTTGTAATATTTTCAATACAAATTTAAAAGGTCCATGTGAATTATTTTTTTTAAGACAGAGATAGTATTTCTTTTACTGTTCGAATTTTCATAAGAAGTCAACGATGAAAAAAAAGAAGGTAGTTTGACCTAGTTAGCTTTCTCTTGTTTATAGTTCACATTGTAGAAATATACCATCTCAATTTTTTTTTTTTTAAAAATAAAATTATGTCATGGAGTGAGGATATGAATAGCAAGTAATTGCACCACGCCATATGTTAGTTTCAAATATTTCCAAGGCTACGTGAAGCTTCCCTTTGGTCCAATTTTTTTTCTTTTTTTAATCGTTAAATAGCTTTCGTAGTTGTTTGGTCATCAACCACCTCGGATATGTTCAAAATAGTAGTAAAACGTTAATTACTCTACTCTCACAAAGAATAGAGTAAATAAAGGGTTTGTCGCCGGAAAAAATAATATTACGTGCATACATATTACAATAGAGTAATTTACTAAGTATATTGTAACCAGAATAGGCGGGCAAAAGGTTTGAGATCCTGCTCCGTCGTACCACTCCGTTTTAGAATCAAGCAGGGATATTGCTACGTCAATTCTATTTAATTAATATACAAATAAACTTTTAGATCAATTGTAAATCCTAATAAACTAATTTGAAAGAAAAAAATAAAGCATAAGCCAAAATTATACTACATTGCTAACTCACTATTCTTTAATTTCAGTCAGCTCAATTAAATTAGTGAACCAATATTATTCTCCTATATTAAACTAAGTTGTCTACGTTTGGTCTTCCTTTGTCACTGGGAAATACTTAAAAATCAATTTTATTAATGTTTCTGCCAACCGACTTAAAGAAAAATCTGATCCCAAAATAATTCAAGTAAATTTCTTTACTCTTTTACTTTCCAGAACCTTTGCCGTGTTTCATCTTTATCAATAAACGTATCACTTCATCCATTCCATTCTAATTTCCATTCAACATCCCCTTGACAAAAACTTTGTAATTTGCTCTTGCTTTTCTTTATAATCCGAGAATGTCGGGGGTTCTCCCCGACGCCACCATCGATGCCAATGAGCGAGTTGACCCCAAAGGGCACCCACCGGACGGTTTGGATTGCAATCTTCCTCCATTGCAAAAGGCTAACCCTCCTTTATTGACGGATTACCAGTCTTTGAAGCATTCTCGAGTTCGTGATAGCTATGTTGTGTATGAAACCTCTGATCAAGGGTTTGCTGACCAGTCCAAAAGTGATGCGCCGTCACCACGGAGATGTTTTCGGGATATGCTCAATTTGAATCAACCTCATGTTGAGATGAACTCCGATGATGGGGAAGGAGGCGACTTGGATAACGAAGTGACTGTTGACTTTGATCGGCCAGTACCAGATGTGAAAATCAGAGACAGCTTGTATGCCTCAATGGTTCAATCATGGAAGAATATTGTTGTGGTGAAAGTGATGGGTATTACACTAACGCCTCAACTTCTATATTCCAAATTGACGGCCCTATGGCCATTCATGCAAGGTTGCCATATGATCGATCTGGAGAACGGGTTTTTTCAGATACGTTTCAAACAAATGATGATGCAGTCAAAGTATTGGTGGGAGGCCCTTGGGTCAGTACTAAGAAATTCCAAAAGTTTTACCTTCATATCCAGCTGCGGAGTGATGATTTTGATGAGAAGAATGAGCAGATTAAATCGGTAGTAGCGTGGATTAGACTACCGGGGATGCCAGTGCATATTAATCACAAGAAGGTTTTCCGAGAAATTGGCAAAATTGTAGGAAAAGTTGTGAAAATTGATCACCAAACGACGGCTCAAACAAGAGGCAAATTTGCTTGTTTGGCGGTTGTGTTAGATTTAACAAAGTCTGTTTGTGCTAAGTTTACAATCCGGGGTAAGCCTCAGCCGGTTGAGTATGAGTACTTGCCGGATATTTGTTTCCATTGTGGAGGTATGGACATGTTGTTGCTGGTTGTCCAGATCGACCTAGCAAAGGGGAAGGGTCAAGTGGTGATGGATCACCTGGGAAGAATGGAAAAGATGGTAATGGGAAAAACTCTAATGTGGTGGTTGATACGATTGGGAATGCGAATGAACGTCATCATGAAATGGTTGAAGAAGAGAGATTGTATGGACCTTGGCTGTTGGCTAAGACTGCAAGCAGGCCTTCTTCATGGCGAAATAAGAGTGTGGCTTATGCGAATCAAAAGAAAAAGGGTACTGACCCGCCTTCAGGCTCTCGCTTTAACACATTGAGTTCGCTGCATAAGGTTGAGGAGGGGAATAACTCTGAGTCTCTTGCCATTGGGATGAGGGGAAGCACTCAGTTTCAGTTTGTTTCGAACTCGAGAGGGAATAAAAATGGGGGAGCTAGGGAAGCGAGGAGAGCAGGGAAGGTAGTAAAAGGAGATGAATGGCGGACTGTAGAGGAGGCACGTTCTGGGAATAAGAAAGAGAATACTAACCATAACACAGGGGTTGCATCCCAAGGGAATGAGTCAGCTAGAGCTGCATTTCATGAGGGGGATAAGAATGGTTCAGGCTCGAAGAAATATGGGAAGCCGGTGGAGACTCGGAGGGGATCTTTGAGAGGGAATAAGGGTGTTGATGGGGGTGATATTGATGCTGGGGTTAACTCGGTTTCGAACAAGACTGTGGTTGTTCATGCGACAACGGGTTTGGACCCTTTGAAGCATCAAGTTGTCCATGTGTTGGAGAGTCCAGGTCGCCATGATAATAATGCGTCTGGACCCGATCCTGTAAACATAGATGGTGATGATGACATGACGATTGAGATCAATCCTCCTGCAGATGTTGTGCCGATGCCGGACTATTCTGCTTTAGGTGGATTGAACGATGATGATGCTATGATTGAAGAGAGTTCTGAAATGGACTCTCTCGTTCCGTCTTCTCTCTGATGGATAGGACCCTCTCTTTCAATTGTATATTTTATTATGAATATACTATCTTGGAATGTAAGAGGAGCAGGTTCGGATGAGTTTTTCCAAGCCTTCTCTACAATCATTTGTCAATATAACCTCGATATAGTTGCTATGTTAGAGCCAATAATTAGTAGAGTTAATGCCGACAGCTTTATTTGTAAAAGTGGGTTTGCAAGGTCTTTTCAAATTGAAGCAGTGGGGTTTTCAGGTGGAATTTGGTTATTGTGGAAGGAGAGGGTCGTTGTCAGGGTAATACGGTGCCATAAGCAGTTTCTTCATGTGGCGGTTACAGTGGATAATGTGGCTTTCTTATTGACGGTAGTTTATGCTAGCCCAAACCCTCGTGTTCGAAGGGAGCTATGGCGTGGGTTGGAGGGACTGGTAGCTACAATAGATGAGCCTTGGGTTTTTGGGGGTGACTTCAACTGTCTTTTGCAGTATTCGAAGAAGCAAGGTAGTTCTAGACGCAGTATAAATATAAGTGATGAATTTGCCCAATTGATCTTCAACTATGAGTTGCAAGAATTACGTACAGATGGTCATCCTTTTACCTGGGTGTGTAATAATAGTGGCTTGACAGAGAAGTTAGATCGTTTTGTTGGCAATTTGAAGTGGGCAAATTTGTTCAGTGAAAGTTTGGTTTGTTTATTACCCCGAATGCAATCAGATCATTTTCCCTTGCTTCTAAGATGTCGGAGGAATAATGGGGTGCAGCAACGAACGAAACCCTTTAGGTTCTTAGCTTCATGGCTTCTTCATGAGGGTTTTCATGGGTTGGTGGAGAATGCTTGGGAGGCCAGTAATGGTTATGAGGATGCGGCAAGTAAGTTTACAGTGGAGGCTCAAAAGTGGAATCGTGTTGTGTTTGGAAATATTTTTCAGAAAGAAAAAGACTTCTAGCTCGACTTGGGGGAGTCCAAAGAGAGTTAATAAAGTATATTACGGAACGATTGCTGAATTTGGAAAAGTCGTTAAGCATGGAATTGGAGGATGTCATGCTACAAGAAGAGCTCCTATTAATTCAAAAATCCCTGCAAGATTGGACACTGTTTGGTGATCGAAATACATCGTTTTATCAACGGCAAGTGAAGGCTCAACGTCGATGAAATAAAATATTATTTTTGTTTGATGAGGATGGTTCTTTTGTGGAGAATCAGGACCAGATGAGGAATATGGCCATCGATTATTTTAAACAAATTTATAGAGCGAGCTTTAACCCCCCATGTTCGTTGTTAACGAGATATGTTTTCCCGCCCCTTGAGCAGCATTCGATAGTTTGGATGGAAAGGGAGGTTACTAATGCTGAGATTTTAGCGGCCCTTAAGGAGATGCATCCCCTCAAGGCCCCCGGCTTGGATGGCTTTCATGCACTGTTCTACCAGCGTGAATGGGAAATGGTTGGCCAATCGGCGTGTGAGGTAGTTCGGAAGGTTATTTTGGATGGTATCATTGCTCCGGAAATGAACGAGACTTTGATTGTGCTTATCCCGAAAGTGGAGCATCCTCAAACAATTAAGCAATATAGACCCATCAGTTTACTGAATGTGGTGTATAAGCTTACCACCAAGGTTTTGGCGATTCGAATGAAACTGGTGCTCTCGACGTTAGTTGGACAGGTGCATATAAGCTTTATTCCAAGTCAGCATATTACTGATAATATTATTGTGGCACAGGAATTGATCCATTGTTTGAGAACAAGAATTGGAAAAAAGGGCTACATGGTTATTAAAGTGGATTTGGAAAAGGCGTATGATTTTCTCAGTTAGAGTTTCTTGCACAAAACCCTAGTCTTGGCCGGCTTTCCAAAGAATATCGTAGCTGGGGTGATGTTGTGTGTAAAATCGGCCTCCATGAGAATTAATTTCAATGGTGTAGCCAGTGATAAGTTTATACCTTCTCGGGGTGTACAACAAGGGGATTTGATATCTCCTTATTTATTTGTGTAGTGTATAGAAAGGTTAACACATCTGATCATTGATAGAGTGGCTGACGATGTCTGGAAACCTTTTATGTTTGGAAGAGGTGAGGTGAAAGTCCCGTATTTTCTTTTTACGGATGATCTTTTACTGTGTTTAGAGGCTTCGATGGATCAGGCATATGCTGTTAACTCTGTGTTAGATACTTTCTGTCGTGCTTCCGGCTTAAAAATTAGCAAGGCGAAGACTCGAGTGCTTTTCTCCAAGAATGTTGAAGCGGGTCAACAACAGGTTTTGGCTCAAACTATGGGTTTTACACATGTTGACGACCTAGGTATGTACTTGGGAATGCCAATGATTCATGGTAGAATCACAAACAATACATATGCGGGGATTCTTGAAAGAGCAGAAAGCCGGCTAGCTGGATAGAAAGCAGCTTCATTATCTATGGCTGGTCGGGTCGTTCTAGCTCAAATCGGTTATAAGCTCTTTGCCGTATTACTCCATGCAGACTGCATGGCTTCCCAGGTTTCTTGGTGACAGTCTGGAGAAAAAATGTCGTAATTTTATATGGGGAAGCAACGATCAGGTACGGAAGCTGAATCTTGTGAGCTAGGATGTGATGCAGCGCTAAGGAGACCGGTGGTTTGGGATTTAAGCAGCAATGGAAGATGAATGACGCCCTTCTTCTGAAGCTAGGGTGGGGGTTGCTAACGAAAAAAGAGGCTCTATGGGTTAGGGTTTTATCAGCAAAGCATAACCTTAATCCATCAGAGATGCTAAGTGACCATCTGTTTCCAAATGGCTCCGTCATTTTGAGATCTATTAGCAAGGTATGGGGGAAAGTATTGGCGGGTGTTCGTTGGTCGGTGGGTAGTGGTCGTCATATTCGGTTTTGGTGGGATAGGTGGATGCCGGGTTTTGTCCCACTGATCGAATTGGCAACAGGTGTAGTACCAGAGAATCAGTTGTTTTAGATGCTTGATAATTTTGTGATTGGAGCAGGGGTGTGGGATTGGAGTTTGTTTGCACATTTACTTCCAGCAATGGCATTAATGTGCATTTCAGCGATCTTACCTTCGAAAGGTGGTAATGAAGATGATGCAATGTATTGGGGATTCTCAGAAAGTGGTCGTTTTACGACCAAATCCACATACAAGTCGATCACAGTTGATGCTTTTGGGAGAGGCTCCAGGCTATCAAAATTAATATGACGATGGATAGGGCCTCAGAGAGTCTGCCAGTTCTTTTGGCTGGTGGTCCATGATCGATTGTTGACGAATGTGGAGCACCACCGTCGGCATTTGACGAATGATGACACTTGTGGGGCATGTGGGAGTGCAGCAGAATCAGTTTTACACGTTTTACGTGACTGTCCAGGGACAGAGAATCTATGGATGAAGCTGGTTAATGTACAATCTTGTTCCTCTTTTTTCTCTATGAGCTTGGAGGATTGGTTGTGTACGAATTTGGATGGTGGTTTAATGATGGATCGGGATAACTGGCAAGTTGTGTTTGGAATTACTGTGTGGCAGGCTTGGCAGTGGAGAAACAGGACAGTTTTTAACAGTACAAATGCATCTTTGAATCAGAAGCTATCCGAAGTTGATTCCTTTGTTGAGGGAGTGGCGTCGACAGTGTGTTGTGAGCGGAAGCTGGGTTTTATGGGCAGGACGAAGGAGCATTGTTGGCTAAGGTGGTTATTTCCGCCAGAGAATTGGTTGAAATTGAATACAGATGGTTTCTTTAATCCTTATACGGGCATGGCAAGCTCGGGTGGACTTTTGAGGGACCATATGGGTCGTTGGTGTGGTGGTTTTGTCATGAACATTGGCTTTGCCTCCATTACCGGGGCGAAACTATGGGGACTATTTCAAGGGTTACAACAAAATTGGACATTGGGTTTTCGACAGATCATTGCCGAAGTTGACATTGCGAGTGTGGTTAAAATGGTTGAAGGCACTAAAGAAATTGTTGAAGTGCACAAAAGTTTAGTGTTGGCTATTCGGGAATTAATGAGAAGAGACTGGAACATAGTGTTGGATCATGTCCATCAGGAGCGAAATTTTGCAGCAGACTCTTTAGCAAGCCTAGCTATGTCATGTCCGGGAGGTTTCTCATGGCTGGAGGAACCACCGATTTGTGTCAAGACTTGGTTACAACATGATATTGTTGGTATCTCATACAACTTTATGTAATAAGCTAGAAACTCTAGGCATTTGCCACCTTCATTATACCACAAAAAAAAAAAAACGTCCCCTTGACCGAAACTAGCACTATCAGTCCTCCTCTCGATTCTTTCCACAACGACCACCGAGCTTCCACCCATTTCCTTTTCTCCGCCAACTATCACCTCCACCATTCCTTGATTTTGTTCTACCCGAAACACACCAGCCATCGTTCCCATTAATTTTCCCCTCCATCATCTACCTTCTTTCTTCCTTTTAATTCCCTTCATCCAAAAACAAAGGTTTCCCCAAAGTTCCTCAAAAATCTGATCAACTAGAGGCTAGAAGAGAAGGGCATATAAACTCAGTATAATTAAGGGGAATAGCTCAAGGTGGAAGAAGGTGTGATAGGTGGGATTTTTAAAGATCATCCGAGCAGTAGCTACCGACTCCGACTTGAAATCCTTTCTAGGTATATAACTTATGTTGTCCCTATTTTTAATTCTAGAATTCGAGATGTAAATGGAAAGGGTGATAAGTAGATAGACGGTTGTAGAATAGGATTTGCTAGGCCTAAGTGTTAGAACAAGACCGATGCTTAATCAACTTAATTAAAAAAGGGAACTATATGAATATATGGGCAGCTAGTTTAATATATGGTACCTCACCATGAGATGTGTGGGAATTATTGTTAGGAAATCATTAAAGTAGATTGGGAAGGAAGCTTGAGCCGATAGCCATAGCTCGTCAGCCAGGTGAGTGTTATCGCTATTTTCTTTATAAAACTGATATTGTTCCTTTCTTCCTCTTGCAAAGTGTTTTCTCTGTTCACTTCACAAGTGTTATAGGACATTCCTAACTACTTTTAGTTTCGGGTTTTCTTCTTTTATAAGTGCTTTGGTGGAATGTCTATAGTTTAGTAGAAAAGATGGCTCACCGGTTCTTATTAGCTCAAGTTTTTTACTTTCTGAAACGATTTTATTAAATAAAGCCATTGTGTTCCTTTTAGCAATGACTTTTACCTTTATAAACTAAACAAGGCTTGCTTGCATCCTTCATGATATACCCTGCTGATTATGTATCAAAAAGCTCTTCTCATTCTTCATATGAATATTTACTTATCTTTGTAATTTTTGGACTGAAATCGAGTTCCTTTTAGGTGAATGAATGACCTTTTGAAAGTTTCCATTTGTCTTATGACTTTTGCTCGAGCCTGGTTTAATCTAAAACATTTCATCTAAAATACCACTACTTTATTCTTTTTGTTCTAGTGAACAAGCCCTAGATGAGCTCCCTTTACTTTAACTTTCTGATGATTTATTAAAGGGATTTGATATCGTATTCTCAATCCGATCTTTACTTTGCACCTGACAAAATAATTCCCGTTAAAGGTTTGACCAAACTCTTGTCAACTGTCTTGATATCGTGAACGGTTATATACTATCTTGATCGTTATGCCCATGCACGTGGTCTCTCTCTTTGATTCTCCCCGAGTTTTCGGAACCTGAAACAGCTTATATGCTTTCCGGAACTAGCTTCGCTCGGTGGTTGAATCTCTTGTGATTTACCTCGAGTTTACGAAACCTGAATCAGCCTATGAGCTATTCCGTAATTAGCATCACTCGATGGCTAAATCTCATTATCGTTATCATTAATGAATGATCGTGTTATACGTATTTGTACCGTTACTCGAGATATGGTCAAACTCTTTTTATTTTCTGGTTTAAACATTTTCTAGTGATTTGTTGCTGTTTTGGGAAATTCTCAGCCCACTTGAATAAATTGATCACTTTATTTACTGTTGGAACTTGTTCACATGCTTTCTTGCATTTTGATTAGTTTTGCTAAAATATTCTCTTAAACTCGAGGACACTCACAGGCTATAAAACATATAGCTCACCTGTACTATTTTTACTTATATTTTACAGGAATAGAAACCAGTGAGAACGAGATGATCGTCTTGTGGATTTAGTTGGACCTCGAGCTGTGATAATTTAGTTTTGTATTCTAGTTGATTTGATTAAGGATGAGACTTGTAGTAATTTAGAAACTTTTGTGTTGTAAAGAACGAAACTGAATACTTTAAGATGATAATGTTAGTTTAGTCTTTTGAATTTATTAAGGAGGATTTAGTAATTACTGCTTGAGTCCTTGCGCGAGCTAGGCAGACGGTGCAATCCGGCCCTTGCCGTTATGTTTTTAGCAGGTGCCAGTGACACGGCCCAAATGTTAAGTAAATTTGACCCAATAACTTTGGTAGACTTGGGCCTATTTGGAAGTATTGGGTCAAGCCCAATATCCGGAAACTTCTAGAATGTCCTAAAATTATCTAGAGGTTTGTAGAATATTAGAGAATAGGAGTAGAGTCATGTAGTATTGTCTAGAATGTTGTGGAGATTTCTAGAACATTATAGAATAGTGGAGGAAGTTGTAGGAATTCTCTAGATTTAGGATTTTTAATACTTTATGTAGAATTTTCTAGAACTATAAGGGCTTGGGGTTGCCAACTATAAATACCTCCAAGCCCCATATTGTAAACCATGAAGAATTCAAGGTGTTGAATTCTAGTTCACAAGTTCTCTCAACCTCTCTTTGAGTCCTCATTCTTTCCTCTTCCTTTTTTTTAAACCTTCAACTTTCCAACTTAATTCTTTTCAAGAATTTAGAGAGTTTTAAAGGTGAGGCTGAGCTAGCATTTTTCATTAGGAGTGTAGAGTGCTAGTGCCGCACGGTTTTAACTTATAAAATAGTTAGCCCGTGACATCAGGTTGGGCCGTCACAAAAGGTGCAATGGTTTCACGTCTTTTCCGTTATAATTTTTTTTGACGCTAACGAAACAGTAATTAAACTCTCCAAACGAACAATGTTAGCTTGATTTATTTTCTAAAATTTAGTTAAAAAAACTGATAAGAATTTTATTTATTTATTTATTTATTGGTGCAAAGTTAGAGGTAAATGCTTAATTGAAATATTACCTTAAAACACCACGTGAATAAGGCGCATCAATAAAATCAATTCGAGTTACAATTTAATTCTGGTGGATTCTCAGTCATTGCAAATATCCAGAACTAAAAGTAGCTACGGACGCTAGTTCACCATGTGAGAAAAATTATAATTATACATACACAATGTTAAGAGGAAAAACAGAAGTAGGACCATTTTGCTTACGAGTATGCAATTTCTAAAGACGAATCAACTATTATTGAAGGAAGATTTTTCCTACTTTTCTTTTCTGCCCGTTTCCTTTTCGGCTTCACGAGCATGCTGCCACGCGAAACATCCGAGTATTTTTTTTTATTTCTAAATTTTTGGTTCTTTTTCTGAAAAGAAATGTGTCTGAAACTTACGGTACTAAATTACTACTCAAAACCTACTTTCAAAAAAAAAAAAAAAAACTTACGGTGACAAACAAATGTGGTTTTTCCCCTTAGATTCAAAGTAATTGCCTGCCCCTTGTTCTTAAGAAATTCTGGCTGCCATGAGCGCATATAATGTACTCGATCTCGAAGCCTCGGACTCTCTCAGTCACAACTTGCATAAAAATTAATAAAACATAACGATAAGTTGACGTTCAGCGCCCAGATCAATTCAACTTAACTTCAGATTATTTTTCTCTAACTCCCAATCCATTGAATAGGTAATTAAGTTACCAAACTCAACTACTGAAATTACAAAACACAAAGTTAATAAGCATTAAAAAGTGCTAGTTTCGCGTTAAAATATTACAACTCATAATCACGACCACACAAAACTTGATTATTAATAATTGTCGTCCATATCTCAAAATGTATAAAATTTTGACGATTGTAACATCTATGTATTGGGATTGGGACACACAGACACACAGTAGTACACTACTGGCATTTTGAACTGGTCTGTGGTCGTTGCTCCAAATATTCAAAGATGAGTGTGATCTATGATTCTATTCTATAATGGGAAAACGACTTCCAAACAAAAGACCAAAGCACAGATGTAACGGAGGTTATATTTTGCCTTATGCCATCTATTTCTAATTCTCGGTTTGATTAATTTGTCTTTTTTTTTGTAAATGTTTTCAACCTTTCTAGCCTTTTTTTTTTTTTTGCCAAAATAATTGTTCTCTTTTTATACTCTCTCCGTCCCATAATTATTGTCCAATTTAGGTTTTCATTTTTAGTTCAAATTATACTAAAAGTGAAATCTCAAATTAGACAATAATTTTGGGACAGAGAGAGTACTATTTTAAACAATGTTGGGATGAGTTTTTAGTTTGATGAAAGTACATTCACTAATCCAACTATTGAGGAGAGGGGAACTTAAGCGAAAGAGTGAAGGTTTTGGTTTGTGTCAGTTTATGGCCGACAAAAATCCGGTCTTTAACAATGCATATATTATATGATTATCGTAATATTTTTGTATTTCACATCATAAAATACCATCTTAGAAAACAAATTATCTATCAGTTGAGATAACTGTTTAAATTTCATTGGAAAAACAACGTTGAGTTAAACTTGCGAAAAGGTTCAATTCCAATGTCAAACAAAATTATTACTACAAATGTTCTTTTGGCTAACACCACTTTTTTTGTCCCATTTATAATTGTTACGTTGGATATTTTCCGTTCTAGAAGAGAAAAAAAAAAAAAAAAGAGAGTAATTAGACATCACCACTTTAAGAACCCAATTCGTACGTTGTTACGCTTCTGCATTTCCACTGCCTTAATTAGACATTCGAATCAACGCCTATTTCAGTGAATTTGACTTCTTTTTCTTCTTTTTGTTTTTTCTAGAACCCCCTCAAGTTTAATTTTTTCCCAAAGCCAAATTATGAAAGTCCATCAACTGTAGCATGTCAAGAAGTCCATGTTTCTAAGTTACAGATATCAACCACCAATCAAATTCCAAGTTTGAAAAATACAGAGCACAGACAAACAGACAATAAGGTGCTATAAATTGGTAGATAATTTTCTATGACATTTTTTGTGGCACAAGTTCGTTGACGTTTATTTAGTGTTAATAAGTATATTTATCTATTTTTTCTTGGTGTTAGTGTTAAGTAAATTTTACAAGATTGTATAATTTTCAAAAAGAACGTTGCATTATTAAAAATAAATAAATTAACACTTCATTCCCTTTTAATTATAAGGCACAAATTAATATTAAAATTAAATTCATGATCAATAATTGTTATCGTGTCTAAAAATAATTGTATAGATTTGATTTTCATTTTTAGTACTTACTACTCCATTTTTTTTAATATTCTGCATTAGGGTGAATCTAAAACTTTATTTATCTATCGCATCTCATTTCTAATACTCCTTCCGTCTCATAATTATTGTCCAATTTGAATTTTCATTTTTAGTTCAAATTGTACTAAAAGTAAAATCTCAAACTGGACAATAATTTTGGGATCGAGGGAGTACATTTACATTCAGTTTTTTCAATTTCACTCTTATCTCTCTCTACGTTTAATGATATATGTTAATGATAACTAACTATTCACCTTATTCCAAAGTAAGTGTCGTTTTAGCAAAATGGAAAAATTATAAAATAAGTATTGTTTACTGATTTCTATGCATTTTTTATCCGAAATTTCCAAATATACCCTCAAAAAATAGTATTATTGGTAAATATTTATTTTAATGGGGTTGGTTGATGATATTCTAGTAATTTAGATACCCTATTTAAGTGTATCTTAAACTATGTGCAAGTTGTAAAATAACATTTATTTTGGAATGGAAAGAGTATTTTTTGCCCTTCTAATTTTAAATTTTTACATAGTTCAAATACTTTCAATTAGGGGTAAGAAAGAAAATACACTTAGAAAAAATAGAGTCTTATTCGTTGTTTTTTTTTTAATAGTTGTGCAAATCTTAAAGTAACAGTTAAAAGTATACGGAACTATTACATACTACATAGAGTGTAATAATGCAAGACATATTACTTTGAGGGGGTTATATGTAATTAGCTATTATTTAATAATAATTACATTAACATCAAAACTAAATTAACAACTGTACTTAAATCTAATGGAACAATTATTTCAGTATCCCGGGAAGCTTTCTTTCTACAATTAGCTGATGAATGACAAGAAAACCATTAAAAACTTGCCTATAATATTAATCCGAATATTCTTTTTATTTTCCCCCGCAAATCCTTCCCAGATGGACTCTTCATCAGCAAGAGTCCCTCTCTCCTTCATTCTCATTCTGGTCTTCATTTTTTCCAGAATAAATCCTTCTTTTTCCTTTGTTAAAATTTGCAAGCCAGCCTCATGTAACCCCGTATTCGGACCCGAAGTCCGGTTCCCTTTCAGGTTAATCGATACACACGACCGGCGCTGCGGCTACCCGGGATTCGATCTCTCTTGCGATTTGCAAGGCCAAACCATCCTTTCCCTCCCTAAGTCCGGCAACTTCATCGTCAACCGGATTAATTACTCCACCCAATCCGTCTACATAAATGACCCGGGTAGCTGCTTAACCGACCGGATATTCAACTTCAATGTGAACGGGTCTTCCTTCCGGGCCAACCCGGGAGACAATTACAGGTTCTACAACTGTTCTCAGGGCTTGTCGGAGTATTCGAACTTGGGTCACGCCGTTCCAGTGGTTTGTTTCAACGGCGGCGGTAATTACACGGTTCTGGCGGTGCCGATTCGGTACTCGGGTAATGGGAGTGGGACCCCGGCGTCCAGCTGTAAATTGATGCCGAATGTTTCGGTTCCGTTGAAGTTGACTTATGCGCAGTACTTGGAGGAGACGGTGGTGGAGGAAGATCTGGAGTTGGTTTGGGATACGCCGGCTTGCTGGAGCTGCGAACAGAGGGGTTTGTACTGTGGGTTCAAGTCCGATTCCGGGTTGGACATTGACTGCACCAAACCACCTACTAAAGGTAAATTTTCTTTTTAAACTGTTTTTTTATTTTTTACCCTCTTTCTTCCCAATTTGAAGGTTGTTTTTTTTTTTTTTGGGTCTAATATGAAATTTATTAGTAAATTATAAGGTATCTAACTTGAATTACATAAAATGTACTAACTTGTATAAGAATGAAAAATTTTGATGTACTCCTTGTCCTAATTATACCATGCACAAATTTTATAACTAGGTGCAGAGGTAGTATAAATTATTTCATTAACTTTTCTCAATATAGCTTTGGTGATATTTATTAGATGATGATGATCACTATAGTACTCTACCTCTTTGCCCATTTTAGGCGTTTACTTTGAACTATTTAATACAAAAATAAAGTTAACTATTGAAATGATACGGAAAGAATGTTTACATATTCTTTAAAGTTCTGAACAAAATGAGAAAAAAATACAATTAACCATAAATTATTGGAAAATTGTACATTGGGAAAGTGACTACAAGTGTGAAGGTTAAGGAAGAAATGGAAAAGGCAGAGATATGTGGTTTCGAGGTTATCAGTTCAAACTTGGAAAGGTACTACTAGCTACCATGACTGATGACACACCGTCCGCTGCTATTTTTTTTACTCATCAATTTTAGAATTATAATTCATTTTGTTGCATTATTTTAGTTCACAAAATTAATTTTGTTATAAGACAGAAGGAGATTTTACTTTTCAAAAAGAAAACCATAAATTTAGTTTAGAAGTTGCAACCATTTTACTCTATAGTATTTTAACTGAATAAAAAAGAAATATTTTTATTATTTCATATAAATTAGATAAATAAGCGGGGATCGTTAGCACTATTTTCTTTAGTGTTTAGATTAAAAAAAAGTGGTCTTGGTTTTCAGGGAAAGCAACAAAATTATAATACGCTCTATGCCTATGTTTATTGTTCTTGGAAATTGATGTCTTTATCGCACGAAGAAAAAACGAGAACAAGCCAAGAAAGGTTAGGTATGGTCGTATGGATCGTGCGATTACGATCGGCAGTATTATTGCATTTTTTATTTGGTCAATCTGTCCACATTATAAATTTATAATACTCTTCTAATATTAAATTCAGTGAAAAGGAAAACGAGTCAAGCGCGTTGGGTGAACTCCATTTGGTTCAGTGTCACCCACAATTTTTTCACTAACAAAAAAGAAAAATTTATTAGAACCAAATAGCAGGGTGCCAGGTCCAATTTGATGTGCTGGACGGAAAACGGTTGAATTCTAGTGGACCAAAGACTGCTCAGTATGAGGCTATATAGTCTCTTCTAGAGGGTCGAGTGAGATCATATCAGTGGGAGGGGATTAATGTCACAAGGTTTGAAGTTCAAATTTTGATGGTAAGTAATTCAAATGGAAAAAAATAGATTATAACGTTTTCTAATAAACAATACTACATACCACACAAAACAAAATCGTAGAGAAATAATTGACTAATTGGAGAAGACTCCACCGCTCAGATATGTATGGTCTCAAAAAGTCTTTACAGTGATAAGAATCGAAATTTGTGAGAAAAGAAACATATTGTACCGTTGTAACTAAAGGTTGTGCTAATGGTTTTAAAAGATAAAAGAACAATCTATGGGTTGCGTGAAAAATTGGCTGATCTATCTAAAGGTTGATATACGTTGTCAATTTTACCTTATTCTTTTTCGGTTAGTCAATATTATCCTAAACTATTCAACCGTTAGTGGATTTTGTCAAGTTTGCCAATTTCCGCTTAAATTGACGGAATTCTATTAGTTTTAATTATAAAAATATCTTAATAGTTTTAAAAATTATAAAAATGGCCCCAAAAATTTAACAGTTTCTTTTCAGTTGTATTTTAATTTTTTTGTTTTTTTTATTTCTTTTTACTATTTTTCGTACTATAAGAATATATTATATGATCTTTTTAAAAAATATATTTATTTTTTAATAAAAAACAAAAGAAAATCTACTCTCGTACTGGACTCCATCTTTTTTTTTCCTAAAAAAAAAAGATTGCCCCAGTGAGAATCGAGGCTTCGAACACAGTAATAATCATCTCCTATCTTAAATTGCTTGACCATCTAACTCAATTCTCTCACCTTTAGTAGATCATGCTTAAATGTGGATAAAATCACTCTCTCAGTTAGAAATCCTTTGGTGAGAGTTAATCTTATATCTACTCTCATGAAACTTAACACCCCAAAGAGTAAATTGTACCCTATATTTTAGTTTAATTAGAATAAGATTTTTTGACTAAAAACTAATTTTTTACAAAAAAAAAACTTAAACATTTAAGATAGATTAAAAATTAATATATTAGTATATTTTAATTTATTATAAATTAACTAAAATAATATCATTATTTTCAAGTTATATTCTTAAAAAAATTAATATGTTTATGTAAATCAACCATGAGTTACAAATATGCATAGCACATCTATAAATTTGCAAAATATAGTGTTTAAAAATAAATAATTTTTTTTAAAAGATCATATAATATATTTTTATTGTTATGAAAAATAGTAAAAAGAAATAGAAAACAGAAAAAATTAAATAAAAAAATAAAAAAGGCTATTTGGTTATTTTTACAAATTTTTAGGGTTATTTTTATAATTTTTAAAACTATTAAGGTGTTTTTGTAATTAAAACTAATAGAATTCCGTTAATTTAAACAGAAATTGACAAATTGGACAAAATCGGCTAACGGTTGGATAATTTAGGTTAATATTGGCTAACCAAAAAATAATAGAGTAGAATTGATAATGCATGTCAACCTTTGGGTAGATAGACCAATTTTTTCATGGTTGAGTGTTCAACTCTAGATTACAAACAACTTGTGCATTTTTATCGTGGGCCTTTTTGTAATGTGCTCTTAGAGGATGCTTAAACTTTCCCTATTGCTTGTGTAAAATGTTCATCTTACTCTCTTTGCACATATTGTTTGTACTTTGCAGTGCATAATCTACTCAAACTTTTTTTGTAAGTGCCTTTTTGGATAAAGAGAGTAAGATGGAGATTTCACAAAAGCAATGTTTTGTAGTTTTGTGTTACTCTAGACTTTCCCCCAGAAACTCTAAATCGAGGTGCCCATAAGTTTACAATAATTTGTCATGGTTAGCGAGGTGGATATACATAAGAAATTATATTTTGAAAGATGAAACTAGACCGTATATACCGAAGCATTCCCTAATTGTAGCGGATATAAAATGTGCTCTAATAAAAAATCAAACACAATACTCATCACTTGGACGATTTCGTACTCAGGTCTTTCCAGGGGAGCAAAATACGGCATCATCATCGGGATCGGCATACCTGGACTTGTGTGCCTCGCCGGGTTTTTCTGCTGCCTTACTAACAAAATCCGTCGCCGTCGTGCTGACCACCTGAATTTCGATCCATCATCGTCAACTGCCGGAATGAACCCACCGCCATCCACAGTAACCATCTCCGGCCTTGACCGACCAACCATCGAGTCGTACCCTAAGACGGTGATTGGAGCCAGTCGTCGGCTCCCGGAGCAATGTAGTGACGACGGGACTTGTCCTATTTGCTTATGTGATTACCAGCCAAAAGACACGTTGAGAAGTATACCGGAATGCAACCATTATTTTCATGCTGCTTGCATTGATGAATGGCTTAAGATCAACGGGAGCTGTCCCTTGTGTCGGAATTCGCCGGAGGGTAGTAATTCGTCGATGACTCCTCGATCGTCTATGTCTTCTGTATTTTCGACAGCATCATCACGAGCCTAAAATTTTCCAGGCACTCGAAACTCTTGAAAACGGAATTATTAGAAAGTATATCTCACGTGTACATTTTTATATAATGTATATAGTCACACGAACCACTGCTATCGTTTATCACACACAGTATAGTCATTATTAGACACATACGTTTTCAAATTTATCATTTTCATGTCTTTTTCTATCTTACAGTTAGAGTTAGAATTACGAGATTGTGATTTTATTCATATGTATTATGTACAATATACAAGTATATATAGACAATTAGTAAACTCTATACACAAGGATATAACTGTAAAAACATATATTACAATATGCCCCCACAAACTGACGGCGGGCAAGAGAGAAGCCGAAGTTTATTCCTGAAATGAAGGAATAAATCCTTAGACAAGGGCTTGGTCAGAATGTCAGCGATCTGATCAGCAACAGACCTAGAATGTACCGAAATAAATTTACGCCGCATATGATTTCGAACAAAGTGAAAATCCACCTCAACATGTCTAGTACGGGCATGAAACACAGGATTAGCTGCAAGAAAAACAGCACTACTGTTGTCACACCAAATAGAGGGAGAGTGATGTAATGAAACACTAAACTCAGACAATAGATGACACACTCAGTACAGCTCAACACAGACATTAGCGATCGCATGAAACTCAGCCTCAGTAGACGAGCGAGCCACAATGGGTTGCTTCCAAAGATGCTCAGGCAATGGGATTAGGCCCCATATAAAGAAGAAATCATGTAGTAGAACAACGATCATTTGGGCAACTAGCCCAGTTAGCATTAGTAAAGGTAGTAAAAGTACCCAAATCAGTGGGATGTATAACCAAACAATAATCTACAGTGCCACGAAAATAGTGAAGGACCCATTTGAGAGCCTGAAAATGAGAAGTGCGGGGCTGATGCATGAACTGACAAAGCTTATTAACCGCAAAGCATATATATGGCCGGGTGAGAGTAATATACTGCAGACTACCACAAAGCCGACAATAGGTAGTCGCATCATCAGGAGATAACAAAGTACCATCCAAACGGGACAACACAACACTAACTTGCATAGGAGTGGAAATAGGCTTGCAATTATGCATATTGGCAAGTCAAAGTAAATCAGTTACATACTTGCGCTGAGAGAGAAGCAAACCCCTAGATGTGCGGTAAACCTCGACACCAAGAAAGTAATGCAAAGGACCCAAATCCCGAAGAGAAAATTCCTTAGCAAGACAAGAGATATAATTCTGAACCAAACCAGAAGTGTTGCCCGTAATAATAATATCATCCACATATACCAGCAAAAAACAAAACTGAGACCCACGGTAGTATATAAAGAGCGAAGGATCACTACGAGACTCACAGATCCCAAGGTGACCAGAAAAGCCTACCAAGAATACCAAGCTTGAGGAGTTTGCTTAAGCCCATATAAGTACTTATGCAGCTTACACACATAATGAGGGTGCCACTGGATCAACAAAACCCTATGGTTAAACCATATACATAGTTTCACTTAGGACACCATTAAGAAATGCATTACCGACATCAAGCTGAGAAATCGACCATCCACGAGACAAGGTAATTGTCAAAACTGAGCGAATAGTGACCGGCTTAATAACCGGACTAAAAGTATCAGTATAATCACTCCAAAAGACTGAGTGAAACCTCAAGCCACCAACCGAACCTTATAGCGCTCAATGGAACCATCAGCATGGGTCTTAATCTTATAAAACCATCGATTTCCGATAACATTGCCGGAAGGAGGAGGGGGAACTAGAGTCCACGTGTTATACGATTTGTTCCTTTTTATTATTTTTTTTTCACGAGTACTCAATTTTATAACTCTCCAACCCAAACTTTTTCAAGAGCGGTTTTGTCCATAAAACAAATAAGCTGGTTTGCCAGTGGATAAACGAAGCTCCTTAATCCAGAAACCATCAATCTGGGAAGCCACTTCCATGGCAATGGATTAGGATCTATACAGATGGAGCAATGTCCACAACCTCCTCAGACTCGGTTGCTGGTATCCGGTTTCACAGCCAAATAAAATTATGTTCAGTGGGAGCTTTTTTCGGTTTGAATGGCGAGTAGATATCTCACATATCAAACGAAACGGCAATGAAGTTGCAGACTCTAGTACAACGAGACTGCATATTTTGTCTAGGCCCCCGGATACAGTCTTAGATAAATTATCTTTTGAGCATCTACCTCCCTCTCCAGGATTGTTTTTGTAATCTAAGCGAAAACTTCCCTGTATAAAAATAAACAACAAGAAGAAGAAGCCATCAATATGTCTCTATACTCTGCTCTATATGCACATCCATTGGTTGATTTGGAAGACACTTAACATGAAAGTTTGGCAAAACAAAACATCTCAAAATGTTGGCGAATGATCAAGCAGGACTCTGATGTTGACGGTGAATTTAATGCATACCGACATAGCAAGCAGAAATTATCACGCGCAAAATTATAGCCAATTTCACTTTCGTTCAGAAGACTGTAAACGATTGTTGTTACTTGTTGACGATTAATTTCTTATGGAAATTAACATATTGGACGGACCAAAAAGAGGAATTCAATTAAAAATGTTTAAGGTGTAGTAATTTTTTCCTTTTTTTTTTTGTATAAATGGTATTCTTGACAATATATATATATATATATATATATATATATCAAAACTAAATTCTCTTGAATTTTAGGTAGGGTTTTGTAAACAACACGTATAAATGCCATTACCGACTTATATATATACATTATTACTTCTTCGTGAACACCATCATCATAACTATCAAGTTGTGTTTATCCTAGCAATTTATCAATCATGGTGGGAAGAAGTCTATCAGAACTGCCACAAGAAATAATTCATCACATACTTTCATTCCTGACAAGCAGAGAAGCAATAACTCAAGTAGGGATCTTATCAAAGAATTTCTACACGGCGCTGCGCACTAGTCCCACATTAGTTTTCGATCTCGATTCATTCATCTTGTCTCCCAATTATGATGGCCGATCAAAAACCACCGAGAAAATATTCAGAGGAGAAGTTGATTATATGTTAACCACATTGGTTAGGTACCGGGAGGAAAACATAGATCTCCAGACCTTTACATTGAAGGATAGTATATTGCGTAGAAGAACCAATCTTTATCATCAATGTATCGAATTAGCCCTCACGAGAAAGGGTATGAAAAGCCTTACTTTGCACTTGCCTAGCGAACATTGATGACGACAACATTAATGTCTTGCCTTCATCAGTTTTTGAGATCCAACCATTGGTGCAATTAAGCCTGAAAAATTGTACTTTTCCGAAGAAGCTGCGTCAAGACGAGACAATAAGAATGCTCTGGCCTAATCTCAAAAGATTGCTTCTTGTGAACGTTTCCTTAGAGGGTTGGTTTGAGAGTATAATTAAGGGCTGTCCTTCAATTGAAATCGGTGGAGATTAACCGTTGCCGCGATCTTCATAAGGGGTTGCTTCAAGCTTATCGATCTTCAAAACCTTGAGCAACTCACAATGGTTTTACTCCCAAGGCAAACTATTCAAATCGATGAAACCCTAATAAATCTCAAACGCTTGTTCCTTGTTGGTTTCAATGACAATGACAATACCTACTTTTCCTCCATGGACTGGATGCAACATTTCCCTCACCTTGAGTTAAAAATTGAAGGATTCCAAAACTTGAAAAGAATCAACATATCAAGTCGCTCGTTGAAGAAAATACAGCTAGGTATCAAATAGGAAATTTACGAAGGCCAACTTTTAATGTGCCTAGCATGGTTGTTTTTGAATTTGAGAACCACAAGGTCCACAACTACTTCGGCAAAAGCGAGGCAATTATCCCCAAGTTTTCATTTGCCTTCCGATTTCACGAGGAGTACCTTGGTGAAATTGATAGAATTCTTGAATTCACTCAAAGGGTCTCAAATTTTCATTACTATTGACTTCGATCCCGCCGCTGAGTGAATATTGTGCATGATGATGTAGCTCGTTATAACGAGATGGCGAACATGCAGTTCTTATAGTGGTCACCCGGTGCTACCTATTTAGGTGCGCGTTTTGACGCCCGCTTCACCCTTTTTTTTGGCCACTTCTTAATTTTATTTTTTTTATTATTTTTAAATACTAACTTAATTAAAATATTTAAATCTCCTTAAATGTTAAACACTAAACATATTATATTTTTTGTTCAATTTAATTTTTTTAATTCAACATTAGCCTAATTGAATTAAAAAATTATAAGTTAATTATGTTACATCACGCACTATATCCTAACCAAATTAAAATATTTAAACCCTCCTAAACCCTAAATCATAATCATTAGACCCTAACCTAATTGAAATATTTAAATCCTCTTAAATTCTAAACACTAATTACTAGATCCTAATTTAATTAAAATGCTTCAACCCACCTAAACCCTAAACTCTAAACACACTATGTTTTTTATTTGGTTTAAATTTTTTTAATTCAATTAGTTTACGAGACCCTAGCCTAATTGAATTAAAAAAATTTATAAGTTATTCATGTTAAATCACACACTAAAACGTAACTTATTAATAAAAAAGAGCAGTGAACAGGCGCGTCAAACGCGCGCCTGCCCAGCCCGGTGCGCTCAAAGCTGAGCGCACCGGGTGCTCAGTATAATTTGCGGGTGAACAAGGCACGTGATGATCATTTTTCTTCTGTTTCGACATTTCTTGGAGATGTTAGGCTAGAGATTCAAGAATTGGTTATATGTAAAATTTGGAGACTGGAAACATCATCCATTCGAGCAGTTTTGCGTGGTATTCTTAGGTTTTGTTGCCCTCACACTGTGATATTCCGAGGTCGTATGGACTATTATAAGAACTCCAAGCTGGTTTATGACATGATGAAGTCATGGTCTGTGACAAATGCTGAGATTGAGATTATTCTACATGCTCCATGTCCGAGAGGATATAGCTACCCCGAAATCGGACGAGTGTGGAAACGGCTTGAACCATCAGAAGACAAATGGGAATTTCTAGAGCAACTCAAATCTGATGACAAGATGGACCACGGGTGGATGAGTTTCAGATCCGATCTAGAGTGGCGAAACTCCTGATTTTGCAAGATGGACATTATTTTTCTATTCTATATATACATGTCACGAAATACTTAGTTTTAGATTGAATTCTATGATTTGACCGTCCAGATTGAATTCTGTGATATGGATTAATTTTTTTGGGACAGAAAGGAAGAGCATCATTTATTTTTTATTTTTGCCTTGTGCTTCATGTTAAATTTCTTTGAAATGCCAATTATTATGATAATGGAACTTACTAAGGTTCCTTTTGATTTCTATGACAAGTATGTCTTCTAAAAATTGTCGCTTTACAGAACT